TTGATGTTTTTCAAGATTTTCATCAATATTTTTAAGACGACGATTAATAATATCAATAGCTTGTTTACATGAACGTTCAACAAAATAATTTTCACCCAATAGAACAAGAATTTCATTTGAATGTATTATACGACCAGGTATAAAAGCTAATTTACCAAATGGTACTGTACATTCATATGTTAAACGATCAGGTAATGTTGAAAGACGTGTATGTAAATGACGATAATCATTTTGAAATTGTGTCCATTTAGCAATTTCTTTATCAACTTCATTTATATAAGATGTTTGTTCAGATATAAGACGTTGAAATGCTTCGAGAGAATCAGGCTTCAAATCGGACATTGTTTTACTGTGTGAAATAAAAATACAAAAAAAAAATAAATACGTTTTTATCAACAAATTTATTTAACCAATCATATAATGTGTCCAATAAACTCCTCCGTTGATTGATTGGTCGATCCAAATTTTATTACATATCCATTTATTTATTTGTTTATTATGATAGAACTCGAATTAAACTATTTAAAACGAGACGATTTCGAATTTTGTGGTCAATTCAATGAGTGAAATAACAGATTCTCGCGTTGTTATAGAACCAGTCGAAAATATTGATAATGAAACTATTCAATTAAATTTAAAATGTGAAAATATTAATATACATGGAATTCAAATATTAAAATGTCTCGATGCTATGCGAAAAGAACGACAATTATGTGATGTTATATTAACAGTTGAAGGTCATGAATTATTTGGTCATCGAGCTTTATTATCTTGTCATTCAAATTATTTTCGTGAACTTTTTCTTAATGATGAAATAGATTCATTAAAGAAAAAACAAATTTATTATCAAATTGATGGTCTTGAATATACAGCTTTAAAATTAATTATAAAATTTATTTATCAGGGAAGGTAAAAAATAACAAAAATTTTTTTTTTTTAATTGAAAAACAAAAATTATTATTATTATTATTATTATTTTCTTTTCTTTAGTTTTCAATTAACATCAGATATGGTATCAAAAGTTTACTTGACTGCGCATCAATTAGGTGTTGAAACAATTTTTAAAGCTTGTTCAAATTATCTTATTGAACAACTCAATGAAAACAATTGTTTGAGTATGTTTTAACTTATAAGAATATTTTCTCGTTATATTCGAATCTTTTAAGATGTGACTTTAAAAGATAGTTTTTATTATTTATTTAAAACAAAATTTAATTAAAAAAGTATTTTTTTAGTAGAATAGAATTAATTATTTATTTTTCTATGAAACAAAACATGAGCACTGTTGCGGTGTTATCTAATAAAAATCTGTGATATCGAAAATAATTGAAGATGTTTTCTTCGAGATAAGCATGTATGATAAAGTCTTAAGTATGCTTATCAGAATAGTCTGGACTGTGAACTTTTTTCAATTGTGTTTGCTTTTTAATAGTCGCAAGAGAGGCTTTTGCAAGAATAGGCCATTGTGAAACCTTTCGACTTTATCTTTATTATTACCCTCAAATAAATACATCGAATCTACCTTTAGGAGTGGCACTTCAACTTTAAACTTTAAAAGTTACAGTGACCTTATTTTAAACTTTAAACGTTAAAGTTAAGGTGACCCTACATTAAACTTTTTAAAGTTAAAGTCTAGGGATAGGAAGTTATTGGCGGTAACTGGTATCCTTAGGTCCTCAAGTCCTATTATAAAGGGGTACCCTTGGGTCCTCAAGTCCTATTATAGATGGGTACCCTTGGATCCTCAAGTACTACTATAGGAGAGTACCATTAGGCTCTCAAGTCTCACTACAGGAGGGCACCTTTGGGTTCTCAAGTCTTACAATAGGGAGTATCCTTGGATCCTCAAGTCCTAACCCCCTATAGTAGGACTTGAGAACCCAAGGGTACCAATTACCGCCGATAACTTCCTATCCCTAGACTTTAACTTTAAAGTAAAGTTAAAGTGCCATCCCTATCTGCCGGTGTAAAATTTCAAGTAAAAATTCGGAAATAAATTTTCCTGATGTTCTTGAGGAGGACTATGACATTGATCTAAAAAATATCGTCAAAATGCAATATCTCCCTAGCAATAAGCTAATGGCCCAAACTCTTCTCAGGATATTCATAATCCATGAGGATCTACATGATGCACGAAATCTCGATACAAAAGTCATTAATCAATTGCAGAACTTTTTTCGTCAGATGCGAAAATATTCTTAAAACTGTTAATCAAAAGATATTCGACCAAATAAAAATGTTATTATTGACATAAGATAACCAAAGATTGGGTCACGACAAAAAGAAAAAGACCAAGTAACTCATGACTCAGCATCTACTAAGATGAAGAGTTCTTATCTCGGTTGAACTTTGCCCCTATTGATTAGCTGAAGAATCATATTGTTCATTTCTATTGAAAATCGAAAAGTTCATTCTTGATATATATCTATCTGTAATAATATATGTTATTGGATAATTCATAGATGAACAACGATCCCAAAACTACACCGAAATTAATAATTTTCAAATATTTCAATCATAGATCGTTCTTTTCTTGCATTTGAATCCTTTATTTACAATGTCTAATAACCTGTTTTCTAGCCTAATTTATGACGTAAGCAAAGAATTAGAAATAAGAAAAAAAAATGTTTTTGTTTTGTTTTTAGGCACACGTCTAATGGCAATTGATGATGATCTTCGTACGAAAGCAACTGAATGTATTCAAAATAATTTTTTTGCTGTACTTGAAACACGTGAATTTCATGCATTACCATCTATTAAAACTGAACTAATAAGTAAGAACAAAAAAAAACAACGAAACTAAGTTTATGAATTTATTCACATGTAAAACTATAGCAGGTTCTACACTACTTAATACAAATATAATGTGTGATCTTATATTAAATTGGATTAGTCAACAAATTCATAAAGATAATAGTACACTTCACGAACTTGGTGAATATGTATGTAAAATTCGAAAAATAATATTCTCTAGAAAAATTCTTTCTAGATGCATTTACTTTATCTTAATGATGATAAAACACTTCATGATTGTTATGATATGGATGAGAAAAATATTTATTTTTCTGATATAATTAAAGTAATTTTTATTGAATTTAATTTTCTATTGTATATCTATATATGTATTATATTTAGGATTATCAAAGTTATAGAGTAGCAAAAAGAACTTTTTCAATATCATCAACATCAGGTAGTTTAGATGAAAATTCAATTTTTGCAACACCAAATTTAAAATTAATTAATGATAATTTAATATCAAATGTCACAAATAATTTACAAACATTTGAAACAAAACTTATTCATATTGATCAATCAACAGGTTTGATTATACATTTATTAATATAGAATTATTTTCTTTAAATTCTTTTCTCTTTAGAATATAGTTATATTGCTATTGCTATTATTCAAGGAAAAATGTTAAGTGTTACTATTCATATGTCACCATCATCATTGTCAACTCCAACTATATCTGAAAACGATCCCTTGACACATACAAATAGTACTGATGCTAACATTTATTTAGCAAATCTCTTTAGTCCAATTTTAACAAGTGATAAAGATATTCCATTGGCTTCACTTTCAACAGCACGATGTGGTTTTGGTATTACATCAACGAATAATACAATATTTGTTGTTGGTATGTTTCTTTTTCTTTTTTTATTAATTCTAATATATTTTTATAATTGAATTTTCTTTTCAGGTGGATATGATCGTGGTGATTGTCTTGATACAATCGAACAATTTAATCCAATAGAAGGTAAATGGACATTATTATCAATTCCAATGACTAGTCGACGTGGTCGTGTATCAGCTGCAGTAGTTAATAATAAAATTTATGTTTGTGGTGGCAGTAATGGACAACAAGAATTGAATACAGGTGAATATTTTGATTTACAAACGATGGATAAATGGTCACCAATAAAAGATCTTACTACACCTGTTACTCATGGAGGTATATTACTAGTAAAATAACATAGAAAAATTTTTTTTTTAAATTTTATTTTGAATATATATTTAGCTACATGTAGTGATGATTCTTATGTGTATTTAATTGGTGGATGTGAAGGTGATAAATGTAAAAATGATTGTTATCGATATGATCCTAAAAATAATCAATGGACAACATTAAGTTCAATGACTTGTGAACGAAGTCAAGCAGCTGCTGTTTATTTTAATGGTAAAATTTATGTATTTGGTGGTTATAGATCAAATCGATGTTTAACATCATGTGAAATTTTAACATTATCAACAAATCAATGGTCTATTGGACCAACAATGCGTGAAAATCGTCGTGGTTGTGGTGCTGTTTTATATGAAAATAAAATTTTTATTATTGGTGGTTCAAATGGTATAACATCATTAGCATCAATTGAAATATATGATCCAATAACAAATGAATGGATTACAAATATAAATAGAATTCCAAATGAATTAAATATACCACGTGTTGGTGTTGGAATTACTGTATGTAATGAAAATCTTTATGTTGTAGGTGGTTTTGATGGAAGAAATTTTCTTAAAACAATTGAAGTTTATGATAAAAATAATCAACGATGGAAATTAAGTAATAATAATAATAATAATAATAAATTCGAGAAAATACATCATCAAAATTTGAATGATATGAAAATTTAATAAATTTTTTCGTATATTTATTGATTATTATTTTTTTTTTTTTGTTATTGATATTATGTTCAGAAGTACAAAAAAAAACCAAAAAAAGAAGAGATCGTCTTTCGTTTTTCTTTTTGTTTCTTATACTATATAATTCTCGCGAAATGTGTTCAATCGTTATTTTATTCCTCATTCGGTGATTTTCTTTTTGTTTTCTTTCTCTGATATACAGATATTAAAAAAAACAGACATTGATGTGTAGTTTTGTACGAATTTAATCATGCACTGTCTCTATTTTTTGTTTTTCTTCTTTTTTTTTTTTTTTATATATTAATCAATTGAAATAGAAAATGATATTTTACAAAAAAGAAAACAAATAAAATTATTTAATGATCGTCAAGTTTCATGGAATTTAATGTTTGTTGAATTTGAATAAGTTCTTGTGTATCTAATTGAAGAATATCTGATTGAAAAAGTAATTGTTGACATGTATGTTCAATTTTATTAATATGATCTTGTGCTAAAAGAAGTTGTTGATCACTTGCTGCAAATTGTTTTAATGTTGTTGTTAAATAATCATTTGTATGAGAATTTTTTATTATCGATTTTACAAGTGTAGCTAATGCATTTATAGATGATTGAGATTTAGAACATATATTTGCTTTAGCATCATCATTTGAAAATGATATAGGTAAACCAGCAACTGGTGTTGTCATTATTTAGTTTAGTTGTGTTTTACTTTTTTTTTTCTTCTTCTTCTGATCTCATCTTGATAAAGAAAAGATGTAGAATGAAATTCTATGGATCGACAAAAATCTGTCAAATCACAAATAATCTAACGAGAAGTTTTGGATACTAGCGCCTCTACAGTATGTTCACATTGTAATGACTACTGTCTGTTAAAAAAAAATTAGCTGTGAGTATTTTTGCAATAACTCGATAACGGTAACAGCTAACGACCTGCAACTTTCACCAACTGAAAGAGTAGAAGTTAGGACATCTTTTTCTTTGATAATGTATAAGACGAAATCCTTTTAAAAGTAATCATCTTCGAAAAACATGCAAAAGAATGCATGAAAATTACTTTCTATCTAGATGAAATTTAACAGGAGAACCATATGCATTGTATCTTGAACTATAGATCTCAAGCTCCTCTATCTAAATCAAAGGGCAAAAATCAAAATTTCATCTGGATAGAAAGTCATTGTCATGCATTCTTTTGCATGTTTTTCGAAGATGATTACTTTGAAAAGGATTTCGTCTTATACATTATCGAAGAAAAAGATGTTCTAACTTCTACTCTTTCAGTTGGTGAAAGTCGTAGGTCGCTAGCTGTTACCGTTATCGAGTTATTGCAAAAATACTCACGGCTAGTTTTTTTTAACAGACAGTACATAGATGTCTTATATACTTATAGTCAAATTAGTTCTGTTTGTTTCTCTCATTGCAAAACTGTTTTTAGATGATTCTCTGAGATAGAAATAAAGTTCTATGTTGATATTTTATGTGTCCAAAGATCATTGCATGGCATTGAGGCTTTAGCGATTAAGAAATAATGTAATGAAGGGATCTTCTGTCGTTCTATATTGACTTGATTTGAACTTGTAGTTCCAAAACTGTCAGCGAATATTTGAACGTCTAAGAAAAGTTTTCAATTAAATCGATCGATCTCATCCTGAGTTACACGTGCTACATCGAAAACTAGATTTCATTGATGAACAAAGATTGTCATTGAGAAAATCATATCTAAACTATTTCGAAATAATTTCCTACGACATTTCTATTGAAAATACTTTCGTTGATGAACTTTTGAATGAGGAGTTTCGTAAAAATATATTTATAAGAAGCATTGAGATATAATCATCGCAAAGTGAACATGATGCTTGATGCAAAACTCGATGTGGGCGTTTGTAATCAGAGTTAATCATGACTCATATGCACACATATCAATAAAATCCGTATTACTTCAGGGGTAGGCGACGGTTATTTTTGTCCAGGATTTTAGATTGGAAAGTACGCATGTTGGTAGTCGACAAAGAATTTCATTAATAGTAGCATATCAAATAAAAGCATTATAACATAACATCTTTGTTTTTACAGGAAAAAAAAATGCATCATTTATAATGTAAATATTATAGGATCAGTTTATTAAAGAAGATAAATAAATAAATAAATACAAAATAGCAGCAGCAATAACAATAACATACGGAAAAATATGTCAATGGAAAAAAGAATCATATATTTTGTTTTCTATTTTTTTTTCTTCGCCATCAAAAGTGAAAGATCTTTGAAGATATCAAATAAAAATATAGATTAATTCAATTTTTTAAGCATTCTTGAACAGATCCAAGAAAATCATGCTGTAAACAATATAAAACAGTAAGAGAATGAATTAAAATGATCGTCTTTAGTAGATAGGATATGGTGAAAATTTTTTAAAATATACTGAGGATCCAAAAGCTAAATAGGATTTGAAGTTCTTCATCGACAATAGAACAGTTTCGATCTTAAAAATTTTTCACCATATCATAAAAGTAATTGCAAAATTTTTGATAGAAAACATTTAACCTCAATCGATCATATCATGTCAATAAACAGAATGGAAAACGAATAAATGCGATCTTTGAATCAAGCAAGTTGAATTTTCTTAAAAATACTCCAATCATTTTAATCAATAGAAGAAAACTTCTGTTTTATCGAAAAAAAACGATGCATAAAAAAAAAAGAATAAGATGTTCTGACTTGACTTTGAAATCCCATACATCTGATTTTGTTTTATCGACTATCTGTGTGTGTGTGATTATTGATTGATGTAGAATAATTTCGGGATTATGTATTCATAAGAAGATAATATAGATTATTTTTCTTCTTCCTCGTTCTATACTAATCATACTCTACAGACAGAGTCAGAATCATTTTTCTTCATATTCAATATAGAATAAAATATGGATAATGCTGTCAAACATTGGTGGATTTTTTTCTTGATTATAATAGAAAGAATATAGTTTTCTTCTTCTGAAATCATAGTAAATAAATGATAGCAATCATAGAAAACATATATTGACTTCTTTATTGAATTGTATGCCATTTACTAAATAAATCATCAAATATTTTCAATTTGAATTTAATAATTAGAAAAATTTTTAATTTCTTCTTTCTTTTTTCTGTCTTATATTTATTAAAATTATGTATCTCATCCATAAGATCTACTGAGAGAAATATAACTATCTTTCGATTAGTATTATAATGATGATAAATATTAAATGATGAGTGAAGAACTATTTGTAAAGTTAAAGGGACGGAAAAGGCACCCAGAATGAACTTGATATATTTAATTATATCGAAAGACTTCTGATTATATCAGTTTTTTTTTCTTCTTCTTCTTCTTATTTTTCTTTTCTGTTGTAGAGAGAGAGAAAAAACTGAAGAATAATGATAAACATGCAAACCTGGTAAAGAAGAGAAACTAGATAGATTGGTTGTAGAAGCGCGATTAAGTGTGTGCGTCATTTTTGGATGATGTGGGAACATTAGTATTAACAACATAAACATATACGAATTGCTTGCAGTTGATTAAGATTAGAAAATTGTCTTTATAGAAATTTTATAGATAAATTTAAAGACTTATTTTGAATATTATTTTTATTTTTGCTCTTGGTTTATATTCTGATTATCGATGCCAATAATCATTGTCTGAATCCGTCCGATGCCGTCGTTTATTTTTCGATTATGTTCTCTCATTATCAATACATACGATTGCTTCTCATGATACAACTTATTTGCATATTCATTGTCCGTCGGTATGTTTATGTTGCTTGTTTGTTTGTTTTTTTACGCAAACATAAACGAAAATACGAGATGACATGGGAATGAAGAGATTGCTAGTAACATCATCGTACTTGTGTCCTTTTCCATAATTAATAGAATGCATTGAAGTGAATTCAAATTGATTATATACAATGTGTTATGTAGAGTTTCTACTCATCATCGAAATACACAATGTTCTAAGAAATTTAAAAAAAAAAGGGTTCGATTTACTATGAGTAGAAATCTATCAAGTAGAAAAGAAAAAGAAGAAGACATTAAATCGAGTAAGCCTAAGGCACTGAGTGTTTGTTCGCATGATCGAGCTATCATTGAATTTATTCTCATTCTCTTGTATGCGATAACGACAAAATACAACAATTTACTATTTTATTTCTTGATATACAAAATTGAAAATACCTAATAAAGAATTTATTTTTTTTGAATTATAATCAATATTAATCTATACTAAATATTATAAATAAATTTCTTATTAATATGTATATAACGAATGACGCATTTGAGTGATTTCAATACACTTTTAGACAATCATTAGATAGAGAATTTTTTAAATCTACAAAACTGTTTCGTTTAAAAGTAAAATGTAAAATATGAACACATGCTCGACCATTTAACTACAATTTTCGATTTTTTGGCAGATGTCTATCAAGTTTTTGCTCATGAAAACTAAATAAAAGAGTAAAGTAGTTAGCATCAATAGATAGAGAATTTTGTGTTCTTCATTTCTATGGCCTTTTCAAGAATCTTGAAGCTATCGTTCATGAGAACAAAAAACTTCGAACTAGAACCTACTGATATTTTTTCTACACATATCAGAAAAACATGTTTTCAAAAGTGAAACTTAATGTATAAAATAGTTATTCTTGTACTGTCGGGTGTAGAATTTAATGCTGAATAAAATATTATGACGACTAGGTTGTATCGAAATAAAAATAGAACAATCACGTAATCCTGTCAGACAAAGCCTTTTCTCGTTTTTACTTTATGATTATTCTTGCAAATATTTCTTCTGAAATATATATCAAAAGATCTTGAATTTTGTGAAGAATTTGGTAGCACGTTTGCCATTTCAGACAACAGTTGTTAAAAAAAAAAAGTTGACCCATTTTTCCGGTTTTTGCACAGAAAATAATATTGTCTCGTTTAATCTGCGCCACCCATTGTCTATGAATATAATGATAGAAGATTCATGGGCATGCTAAAGTCATATTACTTGAACTAACAAGAGAACATCCTTGAGTGTCAAATCGCTTTTAAGTCGAAACTATGCACATTATGTAGATTTTAATAAGCCATGAATACGTAGGAAAAGAGTTGGTGTTAATAGCTTATTACTACCAAGATACTGTATTTTTATCGTATTTTTTAACAGAATGGTGTAGTTTCGTTCAGAAACATCGAGAAAACTAAGTTTCAAATTGCGACTTGAAATTTTGTATCGAGACAGAACTTAAAGAAAATAGTTTATTATGAAAGTTTCAGATCTTTTGGCTACTTCTATCCTAAGATATGACTATAGTAAAAGTATGCTTTCCATGCCGCACATATGCAACGACAAATTCCGATGCTCTTATTTCAGAATAGGCGCAATCGAAAAATCTAAAACACTCATAATAAGCTATTCTCATGTAATAAGCTGTGGGTCAGAACTCTTTTTAGGGTACTGATAGATCATTGGAACCTACATGATACACGTAGTTTCCACTCAAAAGTGACTTGATACTTAGAAATGTTTCTTCGTAAGTTTTTAAATTTCATATATATTGGATCTGTGAAAAATTTAAATAATTGATTATTTACTCATGAATTAACATTCTCATTGTTGGATGTCATTTATTTTCATATTTAACTAAAGAAAATCAAAAATAGTTGAGATCTAAAATGTTCCTAAATGACGATGATCGGTAAAACTTTATGAATAAATTTATTCTAGTAAAATGAGAATTGTATATTATAAATTTTAGATCACCGCTTTAGTAGATCATAGTAGTAGCGCAACTATATGAGGACTACAGGAGGCTTACAAAAGAATCTTCTCAACTTGAAAATCGCCTTTAGCTTAAAAGAAAATAGTGAACAGCAGATTATGGACCTTGTTGATTTTGAATATGATCATGAAATTTGTTGATAAATGTTCCAAGACGCAGTTTTTAGAAGAAAAAAAATAGTTTTCTGAAGCGAAAACCTTTTCCCGCCAACATTTCAAACAATATAATGCAAAAAAAGAGTCGATCTACTCGGACTCTAACTTTTAGTACACTGTAAGTTTTGGCATGATGAATGTCTTTATTTATTTCAAAGGTTATTAGAATGAAAATCTGTGTGTGAGAATATATCTCTCTGATTCCTGTTCGTAGCACCGTAGAATAAAACTACAGACTCAATTTCAGTAAGGATTCAGCGAAAAAAGAATACACGTCTCTTTGCGTCTTATTTAGCACACAACTCGATGTCTCTTACAATCGAAATAGATCAGAAAATTATTTTAGCGAAAAAAAAATTTTTTTTTCGTTCTAGAAAATTAGTCTTCCACAAAATCGGATCCTAAAAAGTCTATCAGCAAATTTCATGCTTATATTTGGAGTCACTACAAAAGCGATTTTCAAGTTGAGAAGATTCCCTTGTCAACCCGTGTCTCCTCTAGAAAGCTTTGAGATCTCATACAAATGGTTGAGTACTACTTAACAAGAGGCTTGAATTTCTTCTCGTAGCATTACCAAAAGGGTCTTCACTTTTCTCTCTACAGGTTTTTTTCTGGTTATGCTACTCAATCATGAGTTTCGAATCTTTATATACTCTTGTTAGTCTTATAGAATTATAAAATGATTTGTTTATTTCTATATACTTAAAACTGAGAATTTATGTATTATGATATGAATGAATTATTCTTATTTCTCTTTTCTTCTGAATAGAAGTTTTCAACGAATGACTGCAAGTCGTTTAAAAAATGCATCTATAATTATTCAAGATCTACTCAAAGATTATGATATTCGTTTACGTCCATCATTTGGAAGTAAATATTATTTATCATTTGTTTTTTTTTCTAATGAAACTAAACAAATCTATCTTAGGTGAACCACTTTTATTAGATATTGAAATTCGTTTAGCAAGTTTTGATAGTATATCTGAAGTAAATATGGATTATACATTAACACTTTATTTAAATCAATATTGGCGTGATGAACGTTTAATATTTGGTAATAAAAGTGATGAAATGATTTTAACTGGTGAAATTCTTGATAAATTTTGGTTACCTGATACATTTTTACCTAATGATAAAAGTGCATATTTACATGATGTAACAGAAAAAAATAGAATGATACGTTTATATGGTAATGGAGAAATACTTTATGGTATGAGATTTACAAGTACATTAGCATGTATGATGGATTTACGACGATATCCACTTGATAGACAAAATTGTACAGTTGAAGTAGAATCATATGGTTATACACATGCTGATGTTATTATGCGTTGGAAAAATGGACGTGCATCAATATTAGATCTTGATAAAGTTCAATTTCCACAATTTACTATATTAGATTATGATACAGTTTCATATGTAATACATTTAGCAACAGGTGAAACAAAAGAAATTTTTTATTATAATGAATAGTTGAAGAGTTTTTGTGAAACACGATCTAAAAAAGGAGTAGAAATTTACTCCCTTTCCATGCAGACATAACAGATACAACCATAGAAAACATCACGAATCATAACAGATACTGCTGATATACCATCAAAGACTATATATATGAATAACGTGATGACTTACAACAGCAATTACATCGTAGTTCATATTTTAATTTTCCAGAGATTGCACTAATAGTTTCGTTTTTGTCGTAGGTAATTATCAACGTCTTTCGTTAAGTTTTATTCTTCAACGAAATATTGGTTATTTTTTATTTCAAACATATCTTCCAGCAGTTCTTATTGTTATGTTATCTTGGGTGAGTTTTTGGATTAATCATGAAGCGACTAGTGCACGAGTAACATTAGGTATAATAAAAAAAAAAGAAATTTTTATACGAACTTAATACGAATTTTTAAAGGTATTACTACTGTTTTAACAATGACAACTATATCGACTGGTGTTCGATCATCTTTACCACGTATATCATATGTTAAAGCTATTGATATTTATTTAGTAATGTGTTTTGTATTTGTATTTGCTGCTCTTTTGGAATATGCAGCTGTTAATTATCTTTATTGGGGTAAAAAATCTAAAAGACGAAAACAAAAAACTCAACAAGACAAATCTAAAGGAAAAATTCATGTAAGTCATTTAAATAATAAAAAATGATTCGACAATGATTTAATAAAAATTTTTAGGATGATTATGATTTAGTTGAAATAGATATTGATCGTGCATCACCTATCATTGGTCTATATTCTAATACTTCAGTTAATTGTAGAAAATCAAGAATAACATCATTTGATGAAAATCAACAAAGTAATCATGTAATTGATACACAATCACCTCGTATTCGACCTTTAGTCAGAGGAAATCCTGCTTTATATCCATCATCATATAATCGAAGTCCACGTCCACGACGAAATTATCATTTTTTAAATTATCTACGAACGCGTACAATAAATTTGCGTCATTCTATTCCACATATACAAGATGTCAACGATATAGATAGATGGTCACGTCTTTGTTTTCCTATTCTTTTTATACTATTTAATGCTTTATATTGGCCTTATTATATAGTTCGACCGCAAACATTTACTTAAATAAATTAAATAGATTTAAAATTCGAAAAAAGTTAATTATATTTTGTTTTTTTTTTAAATAAAAATGAATGTCTTGTTCTTTGTAAGTTAAATGCATACGAAGAAATAAGGATAAAAACGAAAATTATATTTATTGAGTAAGTGTTAATTTTAATATTGAAATTCTGTCATCTTGCATCATAGAAAACGAAATAAATATATATGTTAGCGTCCAAATTGAGATTAGGTCCAATGTTGGGTGTGAGTGTTGATTTGAATGCGAATATAAGTCAATTCAAAGGGAGGTTGGTATGGATGACTCTTGACGCTACTATGAGTGTGGGTGTGCCTCGGGACGGGAGTACTGTATAGGTGCCGCTGTATGATCCTTTGTCTGTTTGTGTGTGGGTGTGACGTCGTGAGTCTGCGTGTGGATGTGAGTATGGAATAAGAGACAACCCATATCCACACCCTCCATATACAGTTTAGTTTGTTTTTTGGTTGGTTCACAGATCTTGTTGAACGGTTATCAGTATGTATATCAATGACAGTGAGAAATCAAAAGAGAGAGAAGGAAACAAACAACTCTCTATGTCATCTCTCTTTCCTTTTAGGCATACCAGAGTTACCTTTCATTTTAATAGTGTGTCGTCTTTGCTTGCCTCTTTCATCATATGTCTTCTACGTTATTCAGTTTATTCAAATGTAACGCTGTTACATTGTTGACATACTTTTTTTTCAATTATCTCGGAAGGCGTGAGAGCTAGAAAATTCGTTCGAACGTCATACAATACAGCTTATCACACTCTGTTTTTGCTATAAGAAAGACTTTCTTGGCTGAAGTCTCGAACTTTACACAGTGTTTTTGTCGACCAAATTTTGAGACACTTAATGTGTTCAGAAATATTTATTTTCATAAATATATTGGCCTTTTCTATATATCTAATCGTTCTTCGCAAGAATCAAATCGCTATATCAAAATAGGAGCTCATTAAGTATACAGTAAGTTAGAAACTGTACAAGAATGTAAAAGTTATTTTCACCGACGAAAGTCAAAACTAAGTAGGCCATTTTCTAGAGACTTAAATTCTTCATCGAATGATATGTCACTCATAATGGAGGTATTTGTATTGTAATCGAGCTAGGCTTGATATTTTGGCATCAAATGAAAGCTCTCACCGCCAAACTAACAAGGTTAAAATATTAGCTGCTGTTGGCTTGCCTAGAGGAAGATATTGAGGTTTTAAGTTTAGGTATAAAAATGAATCAGAAAAGGTTTTCTCCACTATTATAAGGACAAAACATAGTGTTGTTCGAGGCGATTATGGGGTTTGTAAGATCTCTCTTTCATATGGCTCGAACAACACTATGTTCTGTCCTTATAATAGTAGGGTATATTTTCTCCTGTAGCTCATGGAAACAGCTTTCTTCTATCAACCACTAGGAAAATTGAATCCGCTATAATAGGGATCAAACACAGTGTTGCTTGAGCCATATGAAAGAGGAACCCTACAAATCCCATAATCGCTTCGGACAACACTATGTTTTGTCCTTATAATAGTGGAGAAAACCTTTTCTGATTCATTTTTATACCTAAATTTAAAATCTCAATATCTTCCTCTAGGCAAGCCAACAGCAGCTAATATTTTAACCTTGTTAGTTTGACAGTGAGAGTTTTCATTTGACGCCAAAATATCAAGTCTAGCTCGATTACAATACAAATACCTCCATTGTAAGTTAATTTTCTTGAATGAAATTTATTGATGCAAAATGCAATACGAATAAAAAATAATAATAACGTCTTGTTTATTACAATAAAATATAATATAATATTCGATCAAAAACTTTTGTATTTATGAAATAAGATAATCATTAAAGGAGTTTCATAATAAATAGAAGTAAGATTGAGAATAATAAAAGAAACATAAAGATCATACGAATATTGAAGATTCGAAAATGATTGATCAATCTATAGCAAAATTTAACGAAAATAATGACGATAAAAGGATTTATAAAACAGCAAAAAATAAACGAACAATTAAAATTATAGAAAAATCATTGAAGTACCAATAGATAATAGAATTATAAACGATACAGCATGGAGGAAAATATATTTAATTAACGAAAAATTTTGTGTAATGTGAAAAAGAAAAGATCTTTCAATCGATGCCAACGATTACCTCATTGCGACAGTTGATGAATATATGAAGAGTATCAATGGCTAATTAAATTAAAAAAAATATTAACAATAAATTTGATTTAAGAGAACAATTTAGGGTGTGGATGTGGATGTGGAAGTTAATCTTCCCTTTACCCACACTCACACCCTATTTTTTTGTTTTTGTTTCCTACCATATGTTTCAAGTTCATGTCCACTTGCTATTAATTAATCACAATGTTTTATTAAATCTTTCACTTGAATAACTTGTTTTGAATGAAATCTATTATGTTGATAACATAACAAAAAATTTAGCAATACAATAAAACAAAATGTGATGATATATCATAATCTGACATAATTGATTCAATCATTTCAAGTTGATTGATAATATGAGTAAGAAAATGCTATTTGAAAAATAAATAAAGTGATTAAAAATATAATGAAATTCATCAGCATCTAATCAATCATAATTAACACGAATTAAAAAAGTAATTGAACAAGAAAATCGAGCACTCCAACTTGAAAATGACTTTCATTTGTATTGATATATTTTTTAAGAGTAATTTTTTAGTTCAATAAAAACTAAAATAGAAAACAAAAAAACAGCAGAATAGATCAAATTCCCATGGATTGATCACTATTGATACTTGATGCATAACATGAACCAAATAAAATAAATAATCAGTTGTCGAATAGTTATTTTATGAATATTATTTAAAGAATTATTTATTAGTACTTGTGAAGAAACATTTGAAGATTTTGTCTCAGCAGGCGATAATGAAACGATTTCTAGTTATTAAAGATTTAATAAAAATTACATTAAGAGAATATTTTTAAGTGAATGTTATGTTAATATAAAAAAAAAAAGTGATTTTCAAATTTCGAATTGATAACATATCCTGCAGATCACTCACATCACTTAACTGGATTAATATTCGAATTTCAAGATAGAACCAAATGAAAATATGTGACACTTTCACAATAAACTATTCTCATTAAAATCGTTAATATTTACAAAATTAGTTTTTCTGTTACTGTAACATTTTTATATTGAAATTTTCTTTCTGTAGGTTAGAACCTTCCTGAAATCTTAATAATAAAATTTCCATCCAAAATTCTGTCCACAGAGTATTTTTTTTCTTGTCCTACTCTAAGGACAGGGTGCAGGGCATCAACAGATTAGAATAATACTTATAAATTGAATATGTCTCTTGCAAGATTTTAATCTTCAATAAAATAATGATATTCTTAGATGCTTTTAGTCACTAAACCCCGTGCTAGAAAAAAGAAGAAAGTAATTTTAATTGCAAAACAATATTTGTTTTTTTACTAGGGCCACGTTTTTTCACTTTATTTAATAAATATAAGTACGATTTTTATATTTATAAAAAAAACATCAGTAAATTCTTTATATTTTTTCAAAAATAAATACCATAGATGTATATGAACTATACAGAAAGTTTTTTTTTGCATATATATTCTTTTTTTCATGCACTTGCTTGATTGTCTAATGATATGACATGTCGGAGTAATATTTATGGTAAGAAAGAATATCGTTTCACATATCCAGTTGTTACACTATGTATTTTTCTATCTATCTACAACAGAACAAATTTTTCTTCATTCTTTAATTTTCAAAAATAAACAATTTATCTATGTTCATTTTATAAATATCAAGATTTATTTTTATTTATACTTATTCTTTACTATAATTCAAAAATAAAGTTATTGCTGAAAAACAAAATTTTAATGTGCTGAATTTCATAAAGTCAGCAGAATTTTCCACATAAAATTTTAAAGAACTCATATGTCTTCTGTTATGTTTTGTGAAATTTTTAAGTGCGTCGTGGTCTTCTAACATAAAATATGATCTTCTATTCTTGACTTGTACTTGATAAAAATCGACCATCTTTTAATTTCATTGATTAAAATTAGGTCTTCTGAATGAAAGGCAACTTTTCTTTCTTGTACTTTTTTCCCCCGTTCATAAACTTTTTGAGCAAGTAATCATTTCATATTCAAATTTCTTAAGACATGTAGCAGAAAGAAAAAACTCGATTACATTTCTAATCAACTTCATTTTATAAACAAGGTTTAATTCATTCAAAATTATTTGTGAAATGACAATCAAAATGAATTGAAGATGAAATAATTATATTAAAATCGACTAAAAACATTCGCATTTTAATCGACTGTTTAATCATAAAAACTAAACTAGAATTAGCCTTTTTTTTTCATTTTTTGGCATAGGATAAAAGTTTTTGCCCTGCCAGCCAGTCTCTGGTTCAGACCCAATACGACATCCTAAAGGTTTTAGCTCAAACGATTAGTAGAAGAAGATTAATAACTGAAATTTTCTAACTAATATGTACTATTTAAAAGAAGTTTTACCTCATTTGTACATTGAACGTTGATTTAAAATAATTAAGTGTTTCTTCCAAATTTTTTAATAAATCTTGCGTAGAAATAAGACTTACTACTGATTTTATAGAAAAATAATGTTGTTGAAAGTAATCGTTCAAAATTAACTTTTGTATCTTCATTTGTGTTTGATATTATTGATGAATCTTTATCATTCTCTAAAAAAAAACAAATGAATGGGTTCATGACAAGACATGATCCAACACATTCTTTAAATCTAAAACTTTAGAACTCCTTTCTTCTACGAAAGCTGAAATATCAATTATAGAAAATGATCTTCTGCTAAAAAAAATGATGATTGTGAAGTTTTTTGCAATAGTTCAAGAACATTAATAAAATAATTCAATTTTTGACTAACTTGAATCATTTGTGCTTCTTTAAAAACATTTTTTCATTTGTTAAGATTTGATAAACCTTCAAAAAATTAAATTATTATTAT